GCTCATGACTGTAGCTGCTCCGGACACTGCCAGAGACTGACAAATCTAGGCTCTGCTCAATTAAAGGCTTTATAAATTCTGGTGAAATGTCGAATAAAAGCCTGGGCCTGCAGAACTTTGAACCTACGTACCTGAGGCAAGAGCTGTGGGCCTTCAGCAGCGTCCAAATATCAATGTCCAGGATGCGGTCTGCAAGGTTGACAACCTCTTGCCCAAGCTCCGAGGTGACGGTGTAGAGTCTCTCGACGCCGGCGATGACGGAGGTGTCAATCACCGAGGCGACAATGAGCACGTCGACTTCGGTGAGGTAGTCGGTGGGGACAGACTTGATCAAGAGACTGGCTTCACGGAGGTGGTAGATATTTCGGGTGACGTTGTTACTGTTGAAGTTTTTGCCGGGAGTGTTGCGGATCTAAGGAGATTGACGCAATATAGTGATCGACAAATTTAAGGGAATTGCAGAGGAGGCATTACTTGCATGACGTAGGACTTCACCAGTGACTGCTGCGGTCATGTGAAAGTAATACCATTCAAGTACCCTCGTGTGCGACACGCATTTAAGAGAATCATTTAATACAAAATATAATTATTATTATCATTATTATTAATCATAACGTTAAAAGGATATTATTATTAATTGTATCATTATTATTGCCATACCCTGCTGACCGTATCCGGACACCTACCCCCTGGACATCAACTCCCTAGGACAACTACCCCTAGAAAAACTACCCCTAGGACAACTACCCCTAGGGCAACCACCCTCTAGGACGACTACCCCCCCCCCGGGACAACAACCCCTAGGACAACTACCCCTAGGACAAATACCCCCTAGGGCAACCACCCTCTAGGACGACTACCCCCCGGGACAACTACCCCCAGACAACTACCCCCTAGGACAACTACCCCGGGCAACTACCCCCCCCCCCCCAGACACTACCCCCTAGGACAACTACCCCGGGACAACTACCCCCTGGACAACTACCCTCATGGATAGTTGTCCAGGGGGTAGTTGTCCTAGAGCATGGCTGTCATAAGGGGTAGTTGTCTGGGGTAGTTGTCTGGGGGTAGTTGTCCGGGTGGTAGTTGTCCGCGGGGCAGTTGTCCTCTGGGGTAGTTGTCCGGTGGGTAGATGTCCGGGTAGTAGTAGTCCTAGGGGGTGGCTGTTCGAACGGATAGTTTACCGGGGGTAGTTGTCCGGGGTGGTTGCCCTAGGGGTAGTTGACTGGGGGTGGTTAGCCGGGGTGGATGTTTAGGGGATAGGTGTCTGAGAACCCCTGCTGACATACCATATCCAAGATTTCCTCCCTGATCGCCTTGCGGATGTCGTCCAGCATCCATGTCGTCTCCGAACTCCATCGACAGATGTCCGTCACCGGCTCGCCCCAGAAAGCCCCCTCGTAGAACAGCTGCCTCAGCCCCTTTCTTACCGTGGGTGGGTAGCAGGGGCGGTAGGCTACCATCATGGGAGGGGCGGTGGGGAAGTACTCCTCCAGCCAGCCCCCATTAGGGCAGGGTAAGAAGGCGTACTCCCCCGCAGGGGTGTAGTCCCATTCGAAGGTACCCTTTAGGTCGGTTACGTTCTGTCGCGGGCACAGATCTGGGGGAATTATGATAATAATAATGATAATATTGATGCTACGTAACTACACGACAACAATAATAATAATAATAGTAATAACCATAACAAAAACAAGGATAGATAGATTGATAGATATATGAAATCGACATAAGAAGAAAGGCACAATTAACTATAAGCCAAATCAAACTTTATTAAATGTTGTTTTAACACTTCGACTGATCCGTTATTTCTAATCTCTCGAGGGAGAGTATTCCAGAACAAAGGCCCTGCATGAGCAAAGGTTCACTGCCCCCCCCCCCACAGACACACACACAGACACACTTTTTGAGAAACATTGTGAAAGAAGACACAAAAGTACGGTGTAAATGTCGGCCTGCACAGTGGCGTAGGGTGGGTCCAGATTATGAGCGGGCATCAGAACTTTTGGGGGCGGGGGGGGGGGGGGGTCACGACTGGTGCTCCCTGTTCCCTGATGTAGCTACGCCACTACATGTACATTTTACTATATACTTTTGAATAGTAATATGTATTTATTATTACTAATGTTATCATTGCGTCCCGTATGCCTGGGCGGGAAAAAGAAATACGAAACAAATCACTGTTGTAACCCTCCGGTCGCCCCTCCTGGTATAACTGATTGGGGATGTGGAGTTGGATAACTCAACGGGGTTTTCCCTTACTCTAATACGAATAGTGCAGTGGGTTCTTAACTTGCAAATGTGGTGATTCTCCTCTACACGGGCTACCATTTAAACGTCTTATCCGAGGGACTGAATGTTTTCCACTGTAACCTACATTGCGGGTATGAAACAGGGGAGAGACACGTTAACATGCAACGCAGGCTTCAGTAAGTTCAGTCATCCGTCTGGGTGGGGCTACAACCCACGTTCTTTACTTCGACAGGCAGACGCTTTACCAACTGAGCCAACTCGTTTCCTCATTCTGATTCGCATTCCTGGTTAGTATGGTAAGGACTTGAATTAATCAGACTATCAAACATATTGGGTTGTCAGGACACTTAACAAAAGCAAAGCTGTCACGTTTTTCCGTTGGCATCTCATGGAACGAATTCGGGTCAGGCAATATGCATGTGCTTCTTTGGTCTTAAATCCATTTAAGAGTTAAATTATTCCCCGTACTTCAGTGCATCATTGTTTAAAATAAAGCAATGAATCTAGACTTTCACAGAGCCTTATTATTTTGAACAGCCTACTAACTTCTTGTCTCATGATATCTAAGTTCTCTCTGCTCACAATTATGTCCGCTGCGCCATTTCACATGCGTAATGAGTATTGGCCCGAATTCACAAAGGAGGTTTAAATTTAACCTATGGTTTTATAAACCGTGGGTTAAATTTAACCCGCTTTTTAAACTACCCCTCTGAACAGGCTAAAAATATGACGTCATATGACGCTGTTAAACAGTGGGACAAATCTAAACCTCCTTTGTGAATTCTAAAATGATAACCCATGGTCTAAACCATGATCTAAAGGAGGCTTAATCCATGGGTTAGATTTAAACCTCCTTTGTGAATTCGAGCCAATGTGTTTATCTCGAAAAGCAAATGAAAACTCAAAGGTTACTAAACCCAAATGCAAAGAACACATATGATGATAAGTATCAAAGACATTGACAGTAGACTTTTATACAAAGGATAACATCCCAAATAAACTTTAACAATTTTGTATCACTCAATGAGAAGGGTTACCTTTAAAAAGGGATGCTAATAGAGTCAAGATTGTAATCATTATATTAAAAAAAGTATCATAAATAATGGTAGAAATAAGCATTTCCTTGAGTTCGAGTTGATATTAACACCTTTTCTTTTCAACTTCCTAATAGTCAATGTAAATAAGTGAGCAATATCATTGTTTTTGGAATGAGATAATACACACATAATGGCTTTTGACTCAAAGTCATTGCTTCAGCCCAAACTTACAAGAGGATTTTGACAATACTGTTTGAAAAGCCTACTGCTCAGTCATCCGTGGCAGCACATTTGTGAATATGGCATCATTAGACAGCGTATTAGTTACACTTTACCATGATTAATGCTTCCACGCTACATAGGTTATACCTTTTTAATTAGAAGCTACCAAAGTTAGGTATCTTTTTTATACGCACTGTATAGAAATCAAGATATTCAATAATGGAGAAATGATTCTACATTGCCTCGGATTGTTCCCGGGAATTTACTTTTTCTCCAGACTATACGAGGCAAATAATATAGTACAGTATACAGTTTCACTTTCCAGCAGAAATAAGATGTTTTTATTGCAGGAAATATGCTGCCTGGATTAAAATATTCTTGTTTTGCTCTCAAACCGAAACTGGAGCATTCATCAAGGATGGTTTAACAGCCAGGCATATAAGTTAATGTGATTTCGTGAAGCTCTTCCCGCAGAGGTGTAGATTGATTCTTCTCCAAACCAAGTCAGCCGTTATTGCCAGATTCTCAGAGTCCGCAGAAGACCTTCTTAATTTGGAATACTCTATTGATCTTTCTTATAGTTAAGGTAAATATAAAAGTGAAGTGAACTCTGACAATAACAAAATTGAAATAAACGATTGATTCTTATTTTCTTACGATTGTTTCTTACTTTGCTGTATGTGAATGAAAAAAACGATGTGGAATTACACAAGGGTTGTGGACTTTTAAATGTATCGCAACATACCTCTACTTAAAATTAGCTCATATCTTTTTTTTTTAACCTACTAATTTCTTTCTAGCCAATAAGCTCATTTTGTTTTTCAACAATTTCGATTGAAGTTCTAGACTACTTTCACATACTGATTACATAGAATTGTTCTACTTATATAACTATAAATTCAGATGATGTAGACGCCAACACCAAATAAAACAAGAAGTCTTTCATATGGGCTGTTATTTCTTATAAAAACAAAAGAAAACTTTTACATTACTACATTGCCCCCTTCCCTTAATCAGAGTGACGGATGAGGGTTCTGTATTTACAGTGCAGGATTTGTCTTTTCGAAGTATTTGGCTCTTCTTGGTTTTCCGAAGTTGTCTCTGACTTTTTAAAGTATAATTCTGGTTAAATAATCGGTACTTGTTTCGTTGCTCGTTTGCAGAGATATTCGAGTTCACAAATTAAATCGATCCTTAAAACTGTGCCCTTTATTGCCTGGACTAAAGGGCCAACAGCCATTGCCATGGCTCTAAACTCTAGTACTATCCCATTGTATATAGTTTAAGCTTTAGTGAGAACAATAATTATCATGACATAAGTGAAGAATACGTTACTAAGCATCACTAGAATGTACTTGGGTTAGGGTTAGAGTAGAGGTCAGTGATAGGCATGTGGTCAGGATTACAATATTGTTAATGTAGAGGTTGGGTTTTTTTAATTTTTTTTATTATCTTCTGTTTTTTATTTTCAGACAGGAATCCGTTATTATGGCATTCATACGACGAGCACCTCTTCTACGCTGTCTATCATTGGTAGTAGCGTGTATTCTAACCCCGACGCTCATCCAAACCATACATCAAGATGCCATGTTTACTTCTTCTATGATATGTCATTACGATGCCGAGTTGAAGAAAGCTGATTGCAGTTATCGTGGGTTGGACTCCATCCCTCAGAATCTTTCAGACGATATTAAAGAACTGAACGTCAGGTTCAACAATATCACTGTCATCTTGAGTTCTTCTTTTAAGAGATACCCTTTGATCCAGGTCTTGGATCTTACCAAAAACGAGATCAGAATGATAGAATCTGCATCTTTTTACCCTCTAAAGGAATTACATTACCTAAGCCTATCATTTAACCCTAAGCTAGTTCTCCCAGCTACAGGCCTATTCAGGTGGTCTAAGAACCTGTCCATCCTGGGACTGTCTGATTCGAATCTGAAACTGCTTCCAAACGACACTCTCAAATGGAGCCCGTCTGTAGAGAATATAAACCTTAGCAACAACAAACTTACTTTCGTTAACATGAGCGTTTGTGGCAGAGCAAAGATAATTGACTTGTCTTTTAATGAAATCGAGCATCTTACGGCAGAATCTTTCATCTTCGGATGTCAAAGTGATTATATTGATCTTACCTGGAATCATATTAAATCAGTAGACCCGAACGTTATTGCATCGTTGCGTGTCCGATCACTGGTCCTTAGGTACAAACCTTTGACACTTGAGATACTGAAGGATATTTTTCGCGGGATCTGTCACTCTGAAATAGTGGAGCTCACTATAACTCATGCCAAAATAACAGTCTTGCCACGAGATGTCTTTGGTCTCCTGCGTAATTGCTCTCTTACTCTGCTAAGATTATCCGGCAATAAGATCCAATCCCTCTCTCCGTACGTGTTCTCACACTTTACAAGACTCGTGGAACTTGATCTATCGAACAACGAAATCCAATCCGTCTCTCCATACGTGTTCTCAAACTTGACAAGACTCGTGGAACTTGATCTATCGGACAACAAAATCCAATCCCTCTCTCCTTACGTTTTCTCAAACTTGACAGGACTCGTGGAACTTGATCTATCGCAAAACAAAATCGTCACTGTTGAACCGGTATTCTTTCAAGGCATGCAGGAGCTAAAAGTATTGAACTTGAACCAGAATAAATTGAAATATATAAACCCAAATACTGACGTATGGGCAGTGGACTTGAATGAGTTGCACTTAAGCGGCAATTCTTTGAAAATAATCTCAGAATTAGCATTTTTCGGTTTGCAAAATCTAATGCTGTTAGATCTAAGCTTTAACTATGACCTTGATGTCCTCGAAATCACTTCGTTTTCAAAACTGACGGGAATTCAAACCATCGCCTTGAATTATTGCAGAATTTCCAGATTTCAACCGGTAGCCCCGAACTTAACAACCCTTTTCATGAATAACATGAACAACCCATTGGCCTACATGCAACCTGCAATAACCTTTAGAGATTCACAAGGCCTTGTAAATTTGGAAATCCGTGAATCGTCGCTGTTGATATATAATCTCTGGGATAAAACCCTGAATGTCTCTCTTTTTGACGGATTGTCAAATCTGATTACTTTGGATCTGAGCAAAAATAATTTAGACCGTTACTTTCCAGATGACTTTCCAGCTAGGATCTTTGAACAACTCTCTGCTCTCCAATACCTTAGCTTAGAAGACTGTCATATTTCATGCATTCATCATTTAGCTTTTACGGGATTGGAATCGCTTCGGATGCTAAATTTACGTGGAAATTTAATTCAACAACTTAATTTTGATTTATTCAAAATGTTAGATCAAGTGACAATTATCAATCTTGATGACAACCTTTTGTCATACCTCGATGAACAACTATTCTCGAACAATCCCAGACTGACTACTCTATTGCTATCAAACAATAGATTAACCAGTCTTAACCAAACGACATTTGAACCGATAAAATCTTCGCTTCTATCTTTCGATTTATCATTGAACCCTATCGTTTGTAACTGCGATCTACGATGGTTCCGCGATTGGATGAGTGGACATATTGACATTATTGACGAAAACAGAACAGTCTGTACATCGGCCTCTTTAGAGCCTCTTCGCGGGAAACCTTTGCTTGATTTTGATCCCAATAAACTGTGTGGACTCAACATAGTTCTTGTAACCTTGACTCCTCTCACCAGCATTTTCTTGGTTGTCATCGTCGTAGTCCTTTATCACAACCGATGGCCGTTGAAGTATAAACTATTTCTCTTGAAACTAATGGTAATTGGATATAAAGAGATGATAGACGCCCGGGACCACAACGACTACGAGTTTGACTTGAATATCATCTTCTACGATGAGGACGAAGAATGGGCTCGTCAACAACTCCAACCAGCTCTGGAAGCACGGCTTCCGCAGTTTCAGAGGAATATCTTTGGTGATCAAGACCTCATCCCTGGTATGCACTACCTGGACGCCGTCGACTACGTGGTGAGTCATAGTTACAAAACACTCATTCTACTCAGCAGAGCTGCCGTGCACGATCGCTGGTTCATGCTCAAACTTCGCGCCGCCATGGACCATGTGAGCGACACCGAGACCGAATTCGTAGTCGTGGTCTTTCTCGAAGACATCCCTGACGAGGATATACCATTTCTGGCAAGGTTATATTTAAGTGATGGCAGACCCTACCTACATTGGACCGAGGACGTGAGAGGACACGATTTTTTCTGGAATAAACTGGTGAAAAGACTCACCATTAATCTCAGGACAAATGACTTGATCCCCAACGAGTAGTAACGGTCTGACTTATTTTCGGGCTAGTGCGTTGCATATATTCTGTTCACATTTCAGATTTTAGTATACCTGATTCATATATTAAGCCAATAGCCTTACTAGAGCTTGGATCAGACTAAATATAAAGTCGCAAACGCATCTGATGTCAATTTATATTTAAAAAACCATAATATATGTGTTCATGCATATAATACAAATACCTTGGTAGAAATAGCAGAAATAAATGTTCATGATACTCGAGAACTCATGTTTTAGAAATAAAATTATTTGAATTGAATTGAATTGTGTAACAAAATAGCCCGGTCTTTTTAGATTTAAACTGTAACGATTCCCCTTAGAACAGATATATACATAAACGCAAGCCTCATTTTCTTCAGTATACATGCGCCATTACTGTACAGTATATGTAAGAAGTAGATTGTCTGAACATTTGCATTAACGCCTTCGTCTTTCAATCACTCCTTTGTGCCAATGTTTAGGCAGATTATTGCCGGAAAACAGTGCAGCTTTTCCCACTGATGCTTGTGTACCAGAACTTCCACTTTTTACTGTCTTAACTCTTGAGATGAAGGTATGTGTCAAGACACGAATGTATGATATCACAAACCTATATTTTATGGACAATTTTCGGACCTTTTAGCTTTCATGGAAATCACATCGTGAAAGTCAAGGAAAAAGTTATCGCCGATGGTCCTAAAATCTTAAACATTGGTTGCGTTTTGAATGGAAGTCCCTAATAATGCCCATTTTCTGCCAAAATGACGCTTGAAAATGGGTATGGGTTAAGACGCCTCAGCCGCACACCCCCAGCCAAACCAAATGTGAGTACCCCCCCCCCCCTCCTGGATCGTAAACTTATCGACAATTGTATATACCTTGTAAATATGCTGTAAATGTAGATTTGATAATCGTTTGTTTTATTTGTTTGCTCCTTTAAGCCTTTATATGCTCCAATGGGACCAAAAGGTGCTCCAATAAAGTTCAGGCTCGAGTTCAATTCCAGATCCAAGAACCAGGAAGAGACAAAAACATGTACTGTAGTGCGATTTTGACTAGATCTACTTTTAATTTCATACCTTTTGTTTCAATGACTCTTTATTGACAATTAAGATTATTACCAAATGAGATAATAGTACATAGATACTAAAAAACTATATAAAAGTAGAAAAGAGAAAAGCCAAGGTAATGATTTATTATTAACGTTGCAGGGCTAATCATATTATTCATAAAGTACTACGTGATATTGATACATAATGTACACAAATATTAACGGACACATTTAACATGTTGTCTATTTGGGGTCACAAGGGCGATAACTCCATGTCAAAGTAATATGGATCAATGTCATTGTGGCTCCAAACAGACGATGTAACATAAATGTGAAATAGATGATATAGAATTTAGAAACAATAATGTGACTGATGTGTAAATAACAAAATTTTATCTAAACTCTACATTCATACAAAAGCTGTTGAACAAGTATGAATGATGAATTGAGCATAATTGAAGAAACAGGAACGAGAGGAATGATAGGAAACAGAAGGAGAAGAAAAGGGAGATGAAAAAAAAGAGGAAGAAGAAGGAGAAGAAGGAAAAGGAGGAGAGAGGAGCATTGGGAGGAAAAAGAAGAAGAAGAGAGAGAAATAAGGTCAGAAGAAGAAAAGAGAAAGAGATAGAAGGAATAAGAAGAAGGAAAAAAGAGAGGTGAGGAGAAAAAAACAGGGAGGAGGAGACAAAAAGGAGGAGAAAAGAAAGAAAAGGAGGACGGAGCAGAAGAAGAAACGGGAGGAGAGCAAGAAACAGAGGAAGAAGACGGCACGGAAAGAAGGAGTAGAGAAAGAGTTAAAATTTGAAATATGCATGCTATAAGACTTTAATTAATAAGTATAGGCCGGACTAATTAATTTGGAGCTCCAGGAGCGTCACGTGGTGACGGACAAGTGCGCTACAGAAAAGGCCACTATTATCAGTTTTATGTCTTTATTTCAGGAAATTATGTTCTATTGTTGTCGGTAAAAAAAAAAAAATATGGGGAAACAAAAATGACTTGATTCTCTGCATATTCTCAATTACTTCATTACTTCATTACATTTATATATTTTGAGTGTGGTTGATGAGACTAACGCACACACACTTCCCCCCCTCTCTCTCTCTCTCTCTCTCTCTCTCTCCCCCCCCTCTCTCTCTGTCTCTCTCTCACTCTCCCTTTCTCTTTTCTTCTCTTCTTCTTCTTCTTTCTTTCTTATTTTTCTTTGTTTTCTAATTTTTTTATTCTATAATTTTCTCTTTCCTTATTTCTTCTGTTCTGCTCTCGTCTATTCTCTCTTTCACTAGTTCTCTCAATCTCTCCATCATTCAAATTGTGGCAAAATTTCAAAATGTATTATGGATCTCAGTGCTATAATATATTTCTTACACTCTCATATAATATATTGTGTAGGCCCCGAAGCTATATGTTCATTCATACCTTCTTGTTTTCTATCATAAAACAAATTCAAGTTGAGTAATAATGTTTTTTGAATGATTATTCATGTCTTTTTGGCTGTTTCATGTATTAGTATAAAAGCATCTGTATTATTTCAGCTTTCAGTTGCCATGATTTTTTTAAATTGAATAACCATAAATAACTTATCAAAGTGAAACACTGACAACAGCAACTAAATAATGTTAAAAACTGCATTCTTTATTTTAGAACATTTCACAAAAATAGCAATGTTTTATAATGGCCCACATAATCTGGATATTAGACAAACAAAAGATGTTTCTACTGACAAGGGATATTATTGCAAACAATGTAAATGAACTAAACTTTTCCCCGTGTCAAATATTATCCCGTAAATCCAATTCGTTTCACACATCCATCGCTATAATTCTACTTTCTAATTCTTCCTTAATCATATTTAATGTTTTAATGTTTTATCATGCAGTTTAAATTTTATTATTGGTCCGAAACTATTTTGAAACTATTGCAATCGATTCATGTACAGCAACATAAAGGCTTCATGAGAGATTTGCACAACGGTTCAAATTTTAAGTTCAACTTCAAATCTTTATTTCCATTTTAACCAAAAAAAATACCAATTATATACAATAAATAAAAAAAACCTTGATACCATTTTAATTGCTAGCAATTGATTTTCCTTCTTCTGAGAATGTATTGTCCAATATTGTTTGTTTTCCGCATTTCTGTTACTAAAGGGACAAATGGACAATAATTAACCAAGGAAATACAATACCACGACGGATTAATTTTGACACACAAGAGGGCGCTGTTGATAAATCGATCGAAGAGTTGTATGAAGTTGATCCTATTAATAGTCACTTATTTGTGATATTTGAAGAATAACCCTTGCAAAAAGACATAATTACATTGACAGTCACTTTCATTACTTATCAGCATGTACTTCTTGGCGATCGCTAATTCACAATCAAAACACAACTCTAAAATTGTTGATGGAGGTATACTGATTCTATATTATACAATGCACTGCGAAGTAGTATAGACCATACAATTTTGCTTCACTACTTAGTTGCAAGTCACTCACTAAATCGATCGCTTATCCAATACGTATTACCATTTTTCCGCGGATCCGCGGTTAACGTTAAGTATTTTGCGTCCCCTATATATGGGAGGGGAAACGAAATGCGAAACAAATCACCGTTATGACCCTCCGGTCTCTCCTCCTGGTATAACTGATTAGGGATGTGGAGGTTGATAACTACAACGGGGTTTCCCCCTACTCTTATACGAATAGTGCAGTGGATTCTTAACTTGCAAAGGTGATGTCTCTCCTCTATACGAGGTCTCCATTTAACGTCTGATCCGAAGGAGACCGCACTTGTTGCTATGGTAGCGCGAACGAGCTAGACCGCTCATGTTGCTGTGGTAGCAAAGGTCAGCTGGTCAAATGTTTCGCGCAGGATTTAAAACCATGATATTCGCTATTTTGTAACATTCTATCTTTTTTTCTTTTTTTCTTTCTCATGTTTCATTTGTTTCCTTCTATTATTTTTTTCTTCTGTTTTTCATACGTTATTAGTTTTTTCCCCCATTGTTCATTTTCTATTTTATCATTGATTTTTTTTAAAATTATTATTTATCATTTTCTCTTTCTGTCTTTCCTTTTGTAGTCTTTATTTTTCCTTCTGTCACTTCTTATGTTGTTCTTTGCTTTATTATTCTATCCATTTTCTTCTTTCTATATGTCTTCGTGTTTTTCTTTGTTTTCCTTCCATCATTTTGTATTTTTGTTTTTCATATGATATTCTTTGTTTATCCATCTCTCATCTTCTCTTCTATCTGTCCAATATCTATTCTTTATCATTTTCTCTTTCTATCTTTCCTCATGTTATTCTTTGTTTTTACATCTGTCATCTCTTATTTTATTGTTTGTTGTTACCATTCTATCATTTTTCTTTGCTTCTTTTCCCATGTTATTCTTTGTTTTTCCTTCTATCACCTTTTCTTATGTAATTCTTAGTTTTTATTATTCTATTATTTTCTCTTCCTATCTTTCCTCACTCTTTCATTTGTTTCTTCCTTCTATAACCTTTTCTTATGTTAGCCATTGTTTTTATCATATGATTCTATAATTTTCTCGTTCCGTCTTTACTTAATATGTTATTTTTTGTGTCTTCCTTCTTTAACTTTTTCTTGTGTTATCCTTTATTTCTTCCTGCTATAACCTTTCATTATGTTATCCTTAGTTTCTTCCTTTTAAAATAATACAGAGTATTTGTACTGCGCCAACTCCACATGAATAATGTGTTCGAGGCGCATGGAGAAGAAAAGATATAAGTACACAAGAAAAAACACACAAAAATGAACGACGACAATGTGAAAATAAAACTAAATCTACTGAAAAGCTGCTTTGAACAAATGAGTTTTAAGGGCATGTTTAAAGCAATCTACACTTGAAATATAACGAATATGTTGTGGCAATTGGTTCCATAGGTAAGGTCCAGCGTGTGCAAATGACCGATCCCCCCATGATTTCTTAGTTTTCGGAACAACAAGCAATTGAGAATCGGAAGATCTTAAGCGTCTGGGAGGATTATAAGACATTAACAAATTAATATTGTACTCTGGGGCAGATCCATGTATACAGTGAAAAACAAGCAATAATAATTTAAATACAATACGGGATTCAACAGGTAACCAATGTAGTGAAGACAAAACAGGAGTAATGTGAGAAGTACGTCTGGTAAGGGTAACAATACGGGCTGCCGAATTTTGTAATTTTTGTAACCGTGAGAGTTGAGATTGTGGCAGCTGAAACAAAAGTGCATTACCAAAGTCAAGTCGAGACGATATGAGGGCATGAACTATTTTTTCTGTGGCCGAGCGGGTTAAATACTTGCGAATAATGCCTAAATTACGTAG